AATGCAATTTACTCCTACTTTGATTCTGCTGATGTCCGAAATTTCCCTTTTCACTTTCTTTAGCGTCAAAATAGATGTGGAATGGAATAGTCAGGCTGAAAGTGGGATCAAAATTTTGACTCAAGTAGATTAAATAGAATCAAAAGAGGTTGATGCAGATTTCAAAGTGTCAAAATCAGTGTTGAATGGAATAGTGAAGCTGCACTGAGAGAAAAATTTAGTTGCCTTTGGCGTCAACTATGCTCTCTTGTGATTTTAACCACAAAACAAATTAGAAAAATCATTGTTTTAGTAACTGTAATTAGAAAGATAGTTCTTCTAATTATTTTTCTGCGTGGTTAAAATCACAAAAAAGTATAGTTGACGCCGAGAGCAACCATATTTTTCTCTCAATGTGAAAGTAGGATCAAAATTTCGACTTGGAGATGCTATCAGTTTCTCAAACACCATAATAAGAACGATTCCGATGCAACATGTGCAATAACTTTCACACTGAGAGAAAAATATAGTTGCTTTCGGCGTCAACTATACTCTTTTGTGACTTTAACCAGAAAAATAATTAGAAGAACCATCTTCCTAATAACAGTTACTAAAACAATGGTTTTTCTAATTATTTTTGTGGTTAAAATCACAAAAGGGTATAGTTGAGAGCCACGGATATCATTGTCCCACACAATCGGCCGGAGACTGCCGTTTTGACATCACTCGCGTTTGGTAAACAAGAGCAGTGTTCGTATTCGCGATAAGTCGATCGAACGAGCGTGTCTCTCTCGGCCCTATTCTTCCAATCGATACACAATCGCGGCATTTAATATCGTCGTAATAATGCAAAGAGCAAATTACCATGATAGTGTCGTAATCGATCGGCGTTAAAAGCCTATTCGTTTCGCAAGCGCGCATCTTTTGCGCGCCGCGCGTGACAATATTTTCCCAGCTACTCGGCCGACAAGTTTGCAAAATGCCGCGACGTTTACGTTCACTGTGTATTTACGCTTGTGTGTACACGATTATTATATCGTGATAGAGTCTACGATTCGGGTCAGTATTACGCGAATATGAGGCTACTTGAGAGAGAGAGAGAGAAAGAGAGGTGCTGTCTTGACGTTAAATCGATATTTCGTAAACGCAGAAGACTTTTACAGTAAAAATTACTATTCGCGTAACAGATCAACATTCTGCAGTGATTCACTCTATCCTTTCATTTTATATGTGCCACTCGCATGTATATCTTAGGAACTGAAATGTCTTGTTAAAATACTGGCTACGTTTCTAGCGAGACTAACTATGTTCCTTAGCGAGAATAAGCTTTGCTGACAATCTATTTCTGGACACACACTATTAAAAAAAAACATAATAAAATTAAAAAGAATTTATACGAAAGAAAATTGATATTCTCTCCGTGTATAGACACGCCAGTTTGCGCGATTTATACACTGAGAAAAAAAATACTAAAAAATGAACAAATATTTATTAGGTAGATAGCATTAACATATTTACCTAAATCAAGATTCATTTAAGCCGAGTATCGTTTGCTTAAACCGAGTAAACAATACTCAGTTTAAATGAAAAGAATTTTAATTTAAGTAGATTTAAAACAAAATATTCGTTAGCCTATGACTAGCTCTACGTGTAGCGTTAAATAAACAAAAACAAAAGTAAATATGTTAATATTACCTAACGAAATATTTTTGTTGTATTAACCAAAACTTTGTTCAGTCCTTTGTTTGGACAAAATAAATGTTTATTTGATTCAACAAATCGTTCTCTCTGTGTATAATTTACTTAGATCTATACTCTTTTATTTTAATCGAATAAACAATTGTTTTCATGAGAAGCTGAGGTTTTGTTACTTACTTAGATACTTGTTAATTAATTACAATTCGTACAATTCTTGAGGAAGATCTACGGACAACCAGGACTCGATAAATATGTCTACTTAATGCGGCCGGACTTGCTTCTAATTTAGCGCGACGCGCGTTTTCTCCCACACCTCAGACTATGAACAACACAGTTCATAAATGTGAAGTGTTATTTATGGATCATAAATGCGATTTCCTATCGAGCTGCGTTTTTTCCTCGATTCGTCTAGAAGCCGTTGTCTAGAAAAAAATTCTGTTTTGCAAAGTGGATAACGAGAACGCCCATTGTATCTCATCTCCGACGCGTCTTTTTAATCGAAGACTCAGTCAAGTAGTGATCAAGCGACGAATTTATAAAGATCGGCAGAAAATGATTTGATTTTTAAGCAACGCAAATATGATGTCTGGCAGATTGCACAACGAGACTCGCATCTCCCGTTGAGGAAACTCACGGAATATATTATAAATATGAGAGAGAGAAGGAGAGTATCAGTATATTTTCCTTTAGCTCACACCGCCGAGAAGGGGATTTGATAATTGGACAATTATATTCTTTAACCGCACACATCCATCTATTTCTTACTTCTACATTGAGAGGAAAATTATATTAAAATCAACAAATATTTCTTTGATGGGTGCCATTAACATATTTATTTAAATCTATATTCTTTTTATTTAAATCGAATACTGATTTAAATAAACAATATTTAGTTTAAATAAAGAATGTAGATTTAAGTAAAGAATGTAGATTTAAATAAAGAATGTAGATTTAAGTAAATATGTTAATGGCACCCATTAAGGAAATATTTGTTGATATTAATATAATTTTTCTCTCAGTGTATCTATCTAGTTACTAATATCCCTAATAATAGTCACATTACTTCTCTTCAATTGACTTTACGACTTGCGATATCACTCTCATTAGCTAAACGCTTTTGTAATTTCCTTTCGCAAACTTTTTAATTTTCACTCTTTACTCTATCTATTTAATTTTCAATCTTTACTCTATCTATACTTTCTATTTGTTATGTCTAATAGCATTAAACGATAATTAGAAAAGACGACAACAAAATTAAAAGAAAAATTATAGTAGACTCTCAAGTGTCAGCTGATACACTGAGAAAAAATATCTAAGAAATATTTATATATTCGGTAAGTACTAATAATACATTTACTTGTACTAATCTGAAGAGAGAGAGAGAGAGAGAGAGAGAGAGAGAGAGAAAGTTTTTCAAATAAAATATATATCTTCTCAAAACCTCAGCTTCTCACGAAAACAATTGTTTATTTGATTAAAATAAAAGAATATAGATCTCTACGTAAATTATACACAGAGAAAACGATTTATTGAACCAAATAAACGTTTTTTTGGAATGGTCCAAACAAATTTTTTAATTGACCAAACAAAGTTTTGGTTGACACAACAAAAATATTTCAGAACTAAGCTGTAACTAAATATTTTTGTTGCATCAAACAAAACTTTGTTCGGTCAATAAAAAAATTTATTTAGACCATTCCAAAGAAGTGTTTGTTTGATTCAACACTTTCACATTTTGTGTATGTTGTGTTAAATTATATGTGTGTATCTATACAGAATAAATATGTTTTTTTGTTTGTGAATATCTTTTCTCTCGGTGTATATATTTTTACGACGGATGCACAACATCCGGACATAACTATACGAGAGTCGAGTTTCAAGAATTTCAAGAATTACTGATGACGCATATCGTATGTCTCGCAGCACGAAACTTGCGCGAGGTCGACAGCACACTATAACTCTGAAGACCGATATGACGAATATTTATTACTGTGCGTATAAATATCACTAATCTAATAATAATGTATAATCTAAATGAATATTATGTCACGGAGAACACTCGTCGATACTGGAGTCACTCACGGAGAAAAATAATTTTGTTCTTTTAGCAAAATCGTCGTTGCTATTGCATATTCGTAGTGACATCAAAAAAATTTAATTGACGTAACTAATTTTACAAATTATTCATTATCAGAGCAGAAGTAGTTTCGTTGTCAGGATAGAAAAAATTTGTTGAGTGTATTTGTCCTAAGAATTACGTTAATTGATGCAAAATAATGTATCCTTAGCAAATTTATTTGCTAAGCAAAACTGCAACTGGTTATATAAATCTTGGTTCTTATAGCAAAATAATTTGTAAATTCAGCAAATTATATCCAGCAAATAGTGATTAGTACTCTGAACAAATCTTTTTATAATAACGAAAAGACTTTGCTTGTCCAGCAGAAAATTTGCTGGGCCAGCATATTATTTTTCTCCGTGTGCACGGAGAAAAATAATTTTGCCCTTTTAGCAAAACCGTCGTTGCTGCTGCATATTTGTAGTGACATCAAAAAAATTTAGTTGACGTAACTAATTTTACAAATTATTCGTTATCAGAGCAGGAGATTCGTTGCCAGGATAGAAAAAATTTGTTGAGTGTATTTATTCTAAGAATCACGTTAATTTGCTATTGATGCAAAATAATGTATTCGTAGCAAATTTATTTGCTATCGGAGCAAAACTGCAACTGCTTAAATCCATCATGGTTTTTACAGCAAAATAATTTGTAGATTCAGCAAATTATATCCAGCAAATAGATTAATACACGGAAAAAAAGGTTTGGTTGAATTAACCAAATACCTGGTCGAATTTGAACGATTCAGAAATTTCGATTGAAGTAAGTCAACCAAAAATCTTGTTAACTTAAACAGAATTCGGGTTACTTCAATTTTCTGGATTGTTCATATTCGACCAGATATTTGGTTAATTCAACTAAATCTTTTTTTCCAAATTTCAACCAAATCTTTTTGCTATCCATATAATAACGAGAAGACTTTGGTAGACCAGCAGAAAATTTGCTGGGCCAGCAAATTATTTTTCTCCGTGTGTATAATCTAAATGAATATTATATCACGGCGGACTCTCGCCGATATTGGAGTCGCTGATCATGTCGCGGCACTGCGACGTACAGTCGGCGTAAATCACAAGCGTTCCGAAAAAGAGGCGCGAATTATGGGTCGCAAGAAAAATTCGAAGGATGAAATTCGCGCGACGCGACGTTAACGTCTGTTGTTCTCGCAGCGGGACTTTATTAACGATCGATGACGTCGGCTTTGTTGCAGTGTGGAGCGGGAGGCTTCGAAGAACATCGAGGAGAATGAGCGAGAGTGCTTCAAAGACGCGATCGTCTCGAGTCGGAGCCTCAACAAAGGATTCGTCGAGCCGACCAACCTTAAAAACGCTATCCGCGAGGTACCAATTACCGTCATTATCCCGCGCGCGGGATGGCTGTTTGCTTTTATTTCGTAGCAGTAGTCAATTTTCCGCCGGGACGTCAAGACCCCCCGAGAAACTTCCGAGACAAAGATGAGAAAGTTTCCATTTTTTTGTGTTGAAGATTTCACAAGAATTACGATAAGCTCGATAATTACGATATTTCTCAATTTCTTTTTCTAAAGCAGTTTGTACTCTCTTCAAAGTGAATCAGTGCAAATGTTTCTGAAGATGTTTTTGAGAATGTTTCAATCAGAATAGCAGCAGCACTTCATGCGACAATCGGTGAATACTCGTAGATTTTCGAATGAGAACATTTTCTTTCAAAAATACTACAGCGCTTTTAACTTTAACTATTTGTTTTAAGTGAAGAATAAAACACTGAAACTTCACTTTAGAAAGAAAAATGAGTACGATATTCTTCAATCTTTCAAAGGACAGTCTCAATAAACTCGATATTTTTTTAAATCAACCTTAATGAACGCGGAAATAATAAATCAACACTTTTTGGTACTTCATCTTATAGCTCATTGATTTGAGCAATGGAAAAATAAGATTCACTGCAAGATCTGTACTATACTACAATTTCGCTGCACGGAAAAAAAGATCTGCTACATAATTTGCCACTTTTTCTTTGCTGTAGAAGCCAATTTCCTTGCTATGATAACAAGAAAATCTGCTCCTGCAACAAAAAAAGTATCTAAAGCAATAAATTATGTTTAGTTGTCCATCTGTAGCAAATTTGCTACGTTAGCCACTTGTTTTAAGTATTTCAGTGAAGAATACACTGAAACTTTACTTCAGAGAGCAAAATGAGTACGACATTCTTCAACCTTTCAAAGGACAGTCGCAATAAACTCGACATTTTTTTTTAAACGACCTCAATGAATGCGGAAATAATAAATCAATAACTCTCGTTTACCTTTCTCATTCGGTCGTTTCCTCGCGGGGGAAACGAAGAGACAAACAATGGGTTTCTCGCGGGGCTTTTCTTCGTGTCAATCACGCGGAAGCTGTACATAGCTCGCTCGGACCTTCGCAGATCGCCGCATGCATCATCGCAGCGTCTTTCCACATAGCGGTGGGCCTCAGTATGGCGTACTCGGCGACTCTCATTCCTCACCTTGAGAAGGAGGATGCGGAAGTGCACGCGACACAAGAAGAAACTTCCTGGATAGGTGAGATACGTTGGAAGAGACATCATTGATATCGCGAGAGGCGAGCACAGCATTGTTCTGCGAAAGAGATAAGGACGATTGCAAATATTAATTACGAGTCTCAATAGGAACTCGGCCGTGTCATTCTACGTGTCGCTCGAATTGCGCACACAGAGAAAAATAATTTATTGGCCCAGCAAATTTTCTGCTGGTCTAACAAAGTCTTTTCATTATTATATGGATAGCAAAAAGAATTGCTAAGAGTACTAATCACTATTTGCTGGATATAATTTGCTGAATCTACAAATTATTTTGCTATAAGAACCATCATGGATTTATATAAGCAGTTACAGTTTTGCTCCGATAGCAAATAAATTTGCTAAGGATACATTATTTTGCATCAATTAACGTGATTCTTAGGACAAATACACTCAACAAATTTTTTCTATCCTGTCAACGAAACTGTTTTTGCTTTGATAACGAAAATTTATAAAATTAGTTATGTCAAGTAAATTTTTTTGATGTCACTATGAATATGCAGTTGCAACAACGATTTTGCTAAAAGGGTAAAATTATTTATCTCCGTGTAGCAAAATAATTTGTAGATTCAGCAAATTATATTCAGTAAATAGTAATTAGTATTTTTAGCAAATCTTTCTGCTATCCATATAATAACGAAAAGATTTTGCTAGACTAGCAGAAAATTTGCTGGGTCACACGGAAAAAAAGGTTTGAATTAACCAAATATCTGGTCGAATATGAACGATCCAGAAATTCCGATTGAAGTAACTCGAATTCTATTTAAGTTAACAAGATTTTTGGTAGACTTAAACAGAATTCGGGTTACTTAATCGGAATTTCTGGATCGTTCATATTCGACCAGATATTTGGTTAATTCAAACCTTTTTTTCCGTGCAGCAAATTATTTTTTTCCGTGTACGAATATGCAGTAGCAACGATGATTTTGCTAAAAGAGCAAGATTATTTTTCTCCGTGCACCCTTCGGGATCGCGAGATAATGCAAGATTGCGACAAATTCCCGCACGCGTTTGTTACGGAAATGCTTATCGTGAAATGCTTATCGCAAGAGGTCTGCGTGGATAACGTAACAGCGCGATCGAGTTTCGCGCAGTCATTGTCGATATAGCGCCGGCGGCCTATCATTGTGTTGATTAAATTGATTAATTGCACGCGAGCAGATGCTTCACATGTAGCGATACGTGATGAGAACCCCGACCGAGCGGAGCGCGTCGACTATTGCGACACTTGGCCCATCGATTTTCGCGCTCTGATTAGATACGCGTTATGCAATCCAATTCGCACCCCGTAATCGCTGTCGTGATCCACAATGGGAATTTATTGTCGGCCGCCTAATCCAAAAGGACCATATCTTTCCCGTCGTACACGGAGAAAAATAATTTTGCTCTTTTAGCAAGATCGTCGTTGCATATTCGTAGTGACAGCAAAAAAATTTAGTTGACGTAACTAATTTTACAAATTATTCGTATCAGAGCAGAAGTAGTTTCGTTGCCAGGATAGAAAAAATTTGTTGAGTGTATTTGTCCTAAGAATCATGTTAATTTGCTATTGACGCAAAATAATGTATTCTTAGCAAATTTATTTGCTATCGGAGCAAAACTGCAACTGCTTATATAAGTCCATCATGGTTCTTATAGCAAAATAATTTGTTGATTCAGCAAATTATATCCAGCAAATAGTGATTAGTACTCTTAGCAAATCTTTTTGCTGTCCATATAATAACGAAAAGATTTTGCTAGACCAGCAGAAAATTTGCTGGGTCAGCAAATTATTTTTCTCCGTGTAATTTTTCCTGAAACATTGACAACTGTCGCGCAAACAGCGCTGATTCTTTTTACCTTGTATGAATTCTTAATTTCTGTTACGTGCTAAGGGAATTCCGTCGAGAATAAGATTATGTTTCTTTGGGTGCAATTCGAATTTAAGGATTCTTAAGGGGACTGGAAGGTCAGATTGCCTGAAAATCGTGCTCGTTTTTGACAATTTTTTATGACAAACTGAATCAATATGCGAAAGTGTTGTTTTTACGCGTATTTATACAATACATAAGGAGAAGAAAAATATAATTTTGATGAACAATATAACCCAATACTTAATATAAATGTATGGTACATGCTGTTAAAATATATTTTGTTTTTTTCAAGGTCGTCATTTTGCAGTAATATCTTGATCCTCGGTGATTCAATTAAGCTGAATTTTAGGTAGGACATTTTCGTAAGCTTGTCATTATCGGGTGAACCACTATAATAGAAATTGGGTAAAAGTTAACAAAATCGCAAGTATCTTAAGGGAATATTATTAAAATTTTTAGTTTTTTTATAGAGTAAAAAAATTGATATTTCAAAATTAAATATTTTGACGAGTTTGTCAATAGTTCATCTAATAATGACAAGCTTACGAAAATTTTCTACCTAAAATTCAGTTTAATTGAACCACCGAGAGTCAAAATATTACTGCAAAATGACGACCTTGAAAAAAAACGAAATAATTTAACTGCATGTACCATACATTTATACCGAGTATTTGTTTATCAAAATTATATTCTTCTTCTCTTTATATGTTGTATAAATACGCATGAAAATAATACTTTCGGATATTCATTGAGTTCGTCATAAAAAATTGTCAAAAACAAGCACGATTTTTAGACAATCTGACCCTCTAGTCCCCTTAATTCGTATGAATGAATTTCATTCGATTAAAGTGAACGTGTGAAGTATAATACATCACATCCACTCTTCAATTTCGAATGAAAATATTCAGCCGACGATTCGGAGCAGAAGCATTCACTCCAAGTGAAAAATATCTTGATTGTCGCTCTACCTATTCAGTGGGATTTTACTCGGAGAAATTTAGAGGGGCGGACTAAGGGCCGATCTTCCAATAGCGCGACTTGAATTTAACTTTGGACTCTGTTTAAATACGTATTGTTAAGAGAGAGAGAGTTTAAACGTAAATCTACACCTTAAATCGCCGTTGGAAAATCCGTGTGTAGAAGACAAACGGAATTAAGGTGAGACCATTTTGACTTTCAGCCAGCTTGGTCGTGGTATGCGTGCCGGTCGGCGGTGTCTTGGGAGGCTTCCTGATGGAGACGGTCGGTCGACTGAGAACTCTGCAGATCGGCTCGATACCCTGCGTGGCGGGCTGGATCCTCATTGCTCTCTCGACGAACGTGCCGATGCTACTGGTCGGTCGTCTTTTAGCCGGATTAGCGACCGCTCTAGCGAGCTCACCAGCGATCGTCTACATCACCGAAGTGGCCAGGCCAGAACTACGCGGCTCTATGATCTCCTTCGGGCCAACGCTGGCCTCGTTAGGAATGGTGCTCTCGTACTTAAAAGGCGCTTATCTGGACTGGCGACTGGTTGCCTGGCTCAGCATCATCTACGCGGTTGTACCGGTGGTCCTGGTGGAGCTCTGGGTACCGGAATCGCCGGTCTGGCTCGTCTCGAAGGGACGCATCGACGATGCCAAGAAGTCCTTGGAACGGTAAATTCGATTCGGTTATTATGACAGTATAACAAGCGGATTATTGGTCTGTTCTTTTCAGTTCTTTCAATAAATTAGAGTGAGAAAAAATATACTTGTCTCACTTTAACTTATTGCACCAGTTCAGCAGTGTAGCTGAAAAGAACAGACCATATGACTGTCTCATCTGCGATAGCAGGTGAGAAGAATCTCGTTTCTCTCTTGAGAATGCATCTAGTCGGGGATCAGCGGCAAAGGCGCGGCAGGACTGACCGGGGGATAAATCTCGGTTTTACAGTTAAACGTTGCAAGGCGATTGAGTGACAGAGTGATAAAGACCGATCCTTCGCGCACAGAGGATCGCGCTTGATATTCGTGACACGATAGATTACTCATCGAGATAAATCACCGTGATTTTCCAGCACACGTTCGCAATATCGTGAGCTGTCCGTCTACTTCTAAACGTAGCGTGTACACACGATTATTCTATTCATAAACGATAATTATAATGCAGGCTTTACAAGAACGAGACGCAAGGTAAGGTGTCCGTGGCCGAGACGCAATTCAACACTATTATGAAGGAGAATGAAATTAAATTGAGCGAACAGCGACGCAGCAAGCACGGCAACAACATGTTCAGCAAGCTGCGGGGATTCCTGAAGCCGACCGGATGGAAACCCATGGCGATACTCTTTCTCCTATTTTCGTTCCAGCAATTCTCCGGGATTTACATAACGCTTTTCTACGCGGTCACCTGGTTTCAGGTACGGGGGAAGAATTTTCTCATTCGAATCTGAGTTTCAACGCGTTTCTCTTTTCTCTTACTCTCTTACGAAGATTCATTACGAATACGCGATCGAGATAAGTAGAGTCACTCTAATCAGAGCTTGGCCACAACGCGCGGTTTCGTCAAAACCCTGCGAGAAAGAGAGGCATATTTTCAATCTCTCTCTTTGTCTATCCTTTCTTAACTTAACCTAAGCTACTGCTATAGGCGTACCTTGATTGAATATTGTGTGGAATTTGACGAAACATAGCGGACCAATCAAAAGTTATTCTCTTATTAGAACCATTATTAGAATCATTAGACCAAACTCTGATTAGGGTGACTCTAGAGATGAGAAGCTCGATTTGTTTCGGCGCAGTTGGTGGTGAATGTTTTTCTTTAATACAAAAATTAATAACTCTCTAAATAACAATATTACAGGAAAATAATAAGCAAGTGAGAGTCAGCGCTGATGTACGAGCGTATTTTTATTTTTAAATGAAAATTGTAAACGTTTCAGTCCTAACAATTTGGACCCTCTTCAGTACAATTAATATTATAGTATAAATCCGATGCCAATGATGTCGAATAAACGGAAATTGTCAGTTACCAAGCTGACAATAAGCGAAATCATGGGCATCCGTTACAGAAAGTCTTTCTGACTAAACGTCTGTTGACAAACGACGAGACAGATAAAGAGGGTCCAAATTGTTAGGAAGTTTACAATTTTCATTTAAAAATAAAAATACGCTCGTACATCAGCGCTGACTCTCACTTACCTATGGTTTTCCTTTAATATGTTTTTCTTTAACTTCATTGCGATTGATCCATCTCCACGCGTGCCCACGTAACCCCGATCTTTCGGGATTAAGCCTTTTGGAATCTTTAGGAAGTGGGTGCGGGTGTCGACGAGTATATCGCGTCTATTTTGGTGGGCGTGACGCGTTTCCTGTGCTCCATGGTGAACACTTGGTTGCTCAGGCGATTCAGGAGACGAGCGTTGTGCCTGATATCAGCTCTGGGCATGGCTGTGTGCATGGCCGTTTCTGGCTACTTCACCCTGAACATCAAGAACGGCGATCGCAGCGGCTACTGGGTAAGTGTCCAGGAATTTTCTGTTGAGGAGCTCCCTTCTTCCACGTGGAACGCGCGCAAAATCACCGTTCTGATGTTCGCAGGTACCAGTGTTCTGTCTGTTGCTCTACGTGTGCACATCAATGGTGGGCATGCTGACGATACCCTGGACAATGACGGCTGAATTGTTTCCCACAGAAATCCGCGGGATCGCCCATTCCATCAGCTACTCCATGGCGAACTTGTTGATGTTCGCCGCGTTGCAGAGTTACCGAAGCTTGCAAACTTTCTTGGGAGGTACGGTACCTACTACCTCAGATCTGGCACCTGGGAGAACTATTTTTGTCGTAAATACTACTAGAGTATTAGTGATAAGCTTACATGTATATTTCTGCTGCTATTCTTTTCGTTGGAGCAACGAGAAGATGTAGTTGGCGCCAAACGTAACGATTGCCTCTGGAGGATAGCTATTTTTCCTCTCACAAGTAAGCCTATCCAAAAGGTACATCCTTGTTTTTTTCTAATTTGGCACAAATTGTAGAAATACAAAAAATATTTAGGTCATATTTTTTTCATTTTGGCCCACTTTGAGTTTCGCGGGCAGTTTATAGCTTTTTGATGTTCTCACTCCTATCAATAAGTGCAACAAAAATGCGTAAAAAATAAAATTGAATACAGGATATAGTTAAATAATTTTAACAAAATCGGCATAGCTGAGACATGAATCATTCTAAATTTCTTTAGCCGAGATTCTAACCGAAATATTTCAAATCTGTGCTAAATCAGTTAAAAATGGTTCAAATCTCGGCTAAACCGAGAGAGAAATCCGGCAATTTTAATTAAAATTTTAACAAAATCGGCATAGCTGAGACATGAATCATTCTAAATTTCTTTAGCCGAGATTCTAACCGAAATATTTCAAATCTGTGCTAAATCAGTTAAAAATGGTTCAAATCTCGGCTAAACCGAGAGAGAAATCCGGCAATTTTAATTAAAATTTTAACAAAATCGGCGTAGCTGAGACATGAAACATTCTAAATTTCTTTAGCCGAGATTCCAACCGAAATATTTCAAATCTGTGCTAAATCAGTCAAAAATGGTTCAAATCTCGGCCAAACCGAGAGAGAAATCTGGCAATTTTAATTACAATTTTAATAAAATTGGTAAGGCTGAGACACGAATTATTCTAAATTTCTTTAGTGTTCTCTTTCCTATCATCGACAAGTGCAACAGAAATGCATAAGAAATAAAATTGAATACAAGATATTTTGGTTTGCTGATTATGAATATGAAGCCAAATGTGTAAAATTATTTGTACAAATAATATATATATTCAATTTTATTTCTTATGCGTTTTTGTTGTACTTGTTAATGATAAGAGTGAGAACATTCAAAAGCTATAAACTGCCCGTAAAACTCAAAGTGAGCCAAAATAAAAAAATATGACCTAAATATTCTGTGTCTACATTTGTCTTCTACACTTGTGCCAAATTAGAAAGAAATCGGAGTGTACCTTTTAGGTAGCAAAAAAAAAAAAACAATTAATAAGGCAAATAAGAGCCAACAACTGATCTTAAAGGCGCACTTATCAATTTAATCAAATCAATAAGTGTACAATGGCTTCTATTTACATAAATTCAAGCGCCTTTGAGATCGGCTGTTGGCTCTTATTTGCTTTATTAAGACTGCTGGCCCTTCGCATTATCTATCTCTTTTTAATGACATCAGAATAAATGCGAGAAAATACATGCTAAAATTCTCGCGAAATATATTAAAGTAAAAATATATATCCATAAAGTAACACTTGCGATCGATTAAACAAATTTGTAAGATATTCTGTGCACTCCCCTTTTGCTCTAACAATCAATAATTTATGGTAAATTAACGTGACATACAATTCATCTTCTTAACCTATTTCTTCGCCTATTTCTATTCAGATTAATTTACAATAAATTATTGATTGTTAGAGCAAAAGGGAAGTGCATGGAATATCTTATAAATTTGTTTAATCGATTGCAAGTGTTATTTTATGGATATATTTTTATTTCAATGTATTTCGCAAGGATTTTTAGCATGCATTTTCTCGCTTCTGACGTCATTAAAAATAGATAGACAATGCGAGGGGCCAGGAGTCTTAATTGTTTGTTTCGATTCGCGTCAAGAGCCTTTAATTTGTTTAATTACCTTTTGGGTAGGTTTACTTGTCAGTGCGGTGTTCCCCGTGAAAGATAGAATGTCTGTGCGAGAGATGTCTATGTCTCGAAGCAACATCTCCTCTAGCGAAGCTACAGAGGAATTGTATTATTCTGCGTAGGCTCCTACGCCGTCCAGTGGTTCTTCGCCGGTGTTTCTGTGGGGGCGGCTGTTTTCGTGTGGCTGCTGCTGCCGGAGACGCACGGGAAAAAGTTGTCGGAGATCGAGGAGTACTTCCACAACAATTTTCTGGCGCTGGGGGTGGAGAAAAAGGGCAAAAATCGGAACGCCGAGAGGCGTCGGCAGAAAACAACCAAGTCGCCCGCGACCGAACCGCTTAATCCGAGAACCGTGCAAAACGCTTAGGGACATGCGTGTCCTTCTTTTTCCTTTTTTTTTTTTGATCACCGAAACCATGCGAATTTCACACGAACGCCAAGTTCGAGCAGTCTCCGAGGAAACGTGTATTCAATCGAATTTTACACGGCGAAATTCGAAACCACGCGTATATTCGCGTGAAAACTGATGGTTTTGATGTTAATGATAGAATTAAAAGAATTCAATGTTCGATGTGAAACTCGTGACCGATCCGACAGTCGCCGAGTGTGAAATGACCGGAGAGTCAATGAATGGATGATGAGATGAGAGATTGAGCTTGAAATTGAACTCGAGCATTCAATCATGCGCGTAGAGATGGAAAAAAGCGTGAAGTTTTTCCGATGTTTTCGTGCTGATAACAGGACTTAAGTAGTTAACACCTCGGACAGCACAGAGAATTTAAAAATAGTTCACCGTATGTCACCAATTCTGCGTTCATTTTTAGATGCAAAAAGAATTCTGTTCACTGAACTGAAGAATTCTTTTTGCGTCTGAAAATGAACTCAGAATTCGTGATATACAACTGAATTCTTTTTGAATTCTCTGTGCTATCTGGGACTTTGTACGCGCATAAGATTACGAGGAAAATGTCACGAGAAAAGTGATTGAGAGAAGAGAGAGAAAGGAAGAGGGAGAACGCATGTCGCGCGGAGGGAAATGAATTTATGACTTGCGGTAAAATATACGCGGAGAGAATATTAGTTTCCTTTTCTCATATAAATCTTTTTTAATTTTGCTATGTTTTTCATATTCCACAGGACTAAGCTGTCAGTAAGGTCTATTTTGCTAGAGACATAGCAAATTTCATTAGAAACATAGCAAATGTTGAATAACACATTTTAAATAGCACATATGAAATGAAAGTGAATTGCAGAATGTCGGTATATTCAGTTACAAAATTCCACGGTAATTTTTATCGTATTTTTAATTTTTTTAAATACTCTCCATGTGCACGTATACGTTTATGTGTCCAAGTGAAGTGTCTGTACACTGCAAATCTAAGTGTTATTTTCAATTGCACAATCGTGTAATTTGGCTGAAGCTTTCTTTTGCGCGTTTATCGTTTCAAATCACGTCATTTAACACTTTTGAAACGTGCCAAAGATTATAATTTAACACGTTCAAACGTACTAAATGTCATCACTTAAAACGACAAGAAACGTGCGAAAAGAGATTCAGTCAAAATCACCTCTACGAAAAAGTAATACTGGAGCTCAGTATGGTCGAATTTAGTAGTATTTTGAGTACTTATGTCTCAGCATTTAAGTACAGAAAAAAAGTACTGAGATATAAATACTCAAAATACTATTAAGTTCGACCATACTTAGGTCCAGTACTATTTTTTTCGTAAGGATATACACTTGAGTTTGTAGTGTATTCTTTCTCCTCGTAAGGATCTCATGCAAGGGTCATTACTGCAGTATTAAGAAACCGATCTGATAACACGTCTGTCACTATCGCGACACAATCGTGAATCACGAGACTCGTGATGAGGATTCCATCTCTTCTCTCAACGACACGATTGTACCGACGATTTTGTCGTGCATCAGATTCCGAATGGCGCAATAGGTTTATCCAGAAATCTCAAGTAAGAGGGAGGTCTACTCTCCTCTTCGTAAGCGCGATGACTCGTGCAACAACCTGCGTAATACTTGTTACGAGGTGTGTAGATTACTGAAGCATCGCGCGATTACAAATCCGTGAGTACAACGGCCGATACGTGATATGCAGAGTGAGTCAATGACTCGGGCACAAAACAAGGATGATTCTCAGATCCTCGAGATTACTTTCTACTCGGCAGGAAAAGCGTCATACAAAACGCTTCTTTCCCGAGTGACTTTAAAGCTTGATCTACAATGTATTCTTTGCTTCCTGCTTCTTTCTCTTTCTGACTCAAGCTTAAAGCCTGATCTACAATATGCTCTTTGCTTCCTGCTTCTTTCTCTTTATCTCTTTCCGACTCAAACCTTAAGCTTTAAGCCAGAAAAAAATAGAAGACAAGAAACGCAAAGAGCATATTGTAGATCAGGCTTTAAGCCAGAAAAAGACAGAAGACAAGAAACAGAACGCAAAGAGCATATTGTAGATCAGGCTTTAAGCCAGAAAAAGACAGAAGACAAGAAACAGAACGCAAAGAGCATATTGTAGATCAGGCTTTAAGCCAGAAAAAGACAGAAGACAAGAAACAGAACGCAAAGAGCATATTGTAGATCTGAAAGTCAGCTCTGTTTCTTGTCTCGAGGGTATTCCAATAGCTGTACCGACTCGCCCTGTATATACTCTTATCAGGCAACTCGAGCATTCCTCCTTCAAGATCGAAGTCGACGCGAACTCGCCGTGATCGAACGTATTCGCGAGACCGCGCGGGAATTCGCAGGCGGCCCGTAATGGAACTGCTAATTGATTCGCTCGACTTGGATCACTCGTCTCTATCCGCACGTGGCGTCGTTTACTTTAGATACGAATAGATACACACGCACACATACACACTCGATAAAACCACTCACAGAGGATATTTAATTTAGCAGATGAGGAGCTACTTTAGACGGAGCGAGATGTGCGGTCGCGAAGTCGTGTAACTCGATGCAACCGATTGTCGCCGCGCTGTGAGAAAAGAATGGTTAATCTAACTAAAATTACAGTCATTTGGGAGATACTTTCTGGTTGTTGCAACACGAAAATGATGGTAGTAACGGAACTCTATCATTAACGTTATAATGGAACTAATAAAAAAAAAAAGAAAATGGTTTCCTCAACCATAATTTGTAGTAAATATTTTTCTATGCGATTATAGTCGCAAATAGCAAACATTTTTTTCTCAATGTGCTGTGTTACATTGTTATTAGTACTTGTTAGAAATACTCGTTATTGTTATAAAGTTTACAGAACGGTCGCAAGCACGAAGAATACACGAACTATCGATGCCTCGCGGGCACTCTCAAGCGAGAAACAAAAAGGCGGCAACGCAAGATCTTTTACTCAAATAATTCAATACGCGATCGATACTTAATTATGTTAATAGTCATCAGTAGGAATAATGAGAGATGACGATGACTCTGTGCGACATCGTTCGCGGATCACTCCGTCTAGATATGAGCTGTGCGAGGAGGGAGGAGGGAGAGGATCTATGTATCGTGCCGTGAAAATTCGCGACGAACGGCCGACACGATCGGACGAGGCGAGAACAATCGACCGAGCCGAATATTTTTATATGTTGAAATAATAATATGCCGTGTGTGTTCGTGTGCGTGTCTGCAGATCTGTGTAGATTACATAAGATTACAAGGAACATATGAAACTTCCACGCGATTCACATCTCGTGCTGGCGATGCCGTTCGTCGCGACGGAGAGAAAGAGAGTGGGAGGGGGAGGGGGGAGAGAGAGAGAGAGAGCGGCCGATTCGTCTCTCCGAGTAATGTCTGGTTTCATCGGCATTGAATTCATCTCGATCGTTCGTCCGTTTGTAGACAGAACGCGGTGAGGAAACGATTCAGCTTACAGCAAGCTCGATGAAACCGGCCATTAGCGTTAACATGTACTTTTATCACATGTGATACCGTTACTTCTTATCTCTTTTCTTTTTTCTCTTTTTGCAAACGGACGAGATCGATTTGTCTTAATCAATTTATCCTGTGTATTACATCGTGATCGTCGTAACGGAAAGTCTCCGCCTAGTTTTTTTTTTTTTTTTTTTCGTGAAGAGACCCGAACGGCACAGATCTCCGCAGGACATTCAAAGAACCTTCTGAGAATGTCCCCAGGACATCCCTTGGAGATCCTGTGCCGTGGAAGCGACTCGAAGGAGCTTCTTCACCGATTTTTCGCGCCTGGATTCTTTCGTTGAGACTGAGGATCGCGGATTTTGAAGACGCGTACTCGACGAATCCGTTCAACTTCGATCTGAACCGTTTCGAATAATCAAGCTCCAGTCTTCAACGACCCTCGGTCTCTGATACGTAGTTCAATATGAGCTTCAACAAGTTGGAAGGTTACGTAGGAGCCGCGTTACTGCGATACTTTCTTTCGAAACTTCGAAGTCAGTCTTCTTCACGCGTGCGGAGATGAGTGATAAGAATAATATTTATATCGATATCGTTGTATAAGCTTCTACCACGGTATACACGATGCCATTGTAAAATTATATTGAATTTTAATAAAGTATTTGTAATACAAAACGTCTTCTCGACTCGGTCGAAGAAACCCAATGAAAAATTTCTTATACATAATTATGTAAAATTGTATAAAATTATATATAATTACATATTAAATTTGCCCATACATGTTAATACATGTTATATATAATTATACACAATTATATATAATTATATGTTTAATTAATTGAATGCGTAATTATGTAAAATTACACACATATATATATATATATATATATATATATATATATATATATATATATATATATATATTCAATTATATTAATTGAACATATAATTATATATGATTGTGTATAATTATACATAATTTTATATATGATTATACATTTAATATATAATTATACATAATTCTATACGGACAAATTTTATATATAATTACACGGCAAAAAAAAATATGTGTAAAATTATACACAATTATACACAATTATACATAATTATAAATAATTATATATAGTTGTATATAATTATATATAACTTTATATATAATTATACATTTAATATATAATTATACATAATTATATACGGACAAATTTTATATATAATTACCTGGAAAAAAAAGATTTGTGTATAATTATACACAATTATACACAATTATACATAATTATATATAATTATGTATAATTATATGTAATTTTATGTGATTATACATTTGATATATAATTATACATAATTATGTACCGACAAATTTTATATATAATTACACGGAAAAAAAGATTTGTGTATAATTATACAATTATGCACAATTATACATAATTATATATAATTGTATAATAATATATAATGTATAATAATATATAATGTATAATAATATATAATTTTATATATAATTATACATTTAATATATAATTATACATAATTATATACGAATAAATTTTATATATAATTACACGGAAAAAAAAGATTTGTGTATAATTATACACAATTATACACAATTATATATAATTATATATAATTATATATAATTGTGTATAATTATATATAATTTTATGTGATTATACATTTGATATTTAATTATACATAATTATGCATTTGATATATAATTATACATAATTATGTACGGACAAATTTTATATATAATTACATGGAAAAAAAAGATTTGCTAATATATGGACAACTAAAAATATTAGCTGCAGCAGCAAATTTTCTTGCTTTCTTAGCAAAGTTATTTAATTGTGATAGCTAAAAGATTTGCTAATATATGGACAACTAAAAATATTAGCTGCAGCAGCAAATTTTCTTGCTTTCTTAGCAAAGTTATTTAATTGTGATAGCTAAAAGATTTGCTAATATATGGACAACTAAAAATATTAGCTGCAGCAGCAAATTTTCTTGCTTTCTTAGCAAAGTTATTTAATTGTGATAGCTAAAAGATTTGTAATATATATATTAGCAAATCTTTTAGCTATCACAACTAAATAACTTTGCTATGAAAGCAAGAAAATTTGTTCCTGCAGTTAATATTTTTAGTTGTCCATATATTAGCAAATCTTTTTTTTCCGTGTACGCATGACAAATTTTTCATCGGAAAGAGAGGAAAAAGGGTGTAACGCGATATCAACGATAAGGTCGCCTGCAAATCGTTGACAAAAGCGTAATATACAAGATACAACTGATACAAGATATACAAAAACTTTTCAAACGAAAATAACAAGACCACGCTGATTCTGCGCAATTGGTCTTCCATAAAGATACGGAGGTAATTAACGAGATCGGATGCGATTGAGACCAAATCTTTATTTCCTCGGAAGATTATCGCAAGTATATTCCTCGTGAGTTTCAAGTCAACTAGTGGGCGAACAAAGGCGGACACTGCTATTGCAATTGCCAAACTCTACCGTGATGACTTCAATTTTCAATTGAAAGAGAAAACGATTCGCGAACGAAAATGCGGGGAGCAGTAACAACCGGCATCTTGTAGCAATACTTTATTTATGTCAAGTTGGCAATTACAATAACAATACAAGTAATATCGTCGCAATAGTCGTTTACGATTTATCGGCGTGAAAAAATCTCGGTAGAATCCATTTGTTTCTCCCTTCTACTATAATTCCTTTCTCTGTCGTGTCTCAAGCTCGTTACGTACGTTTTCCTTTCGGAAACAAGGAAAGGAAAGGAAAGAGATTCGACGCGATGAAAACGGGACAGCTTGCGTGCACTTCTCGGGAAATAGGGCGGGAGGGGGGGGGGAGGAAGGGATCAGGAAGAGGTGCAACAAATACACGTTTACGAGCGTCGCTGAGGCAAAATGCCCGCAAAATCGCCGAGTTGTCAAGGCTCCTTGAGCGGATGGCGCACAGAAAGACGTAAGCAGTAAGATTTGAGCGGTAAGAAAATCGACCAATCACAATCGATCATTCTCAGACCGTGAGAATGAGTCATCGATCAATTGGCCAATTTGCTCGAGTCTTTCTGTGCGGCGTCTTGGCTGTCTCGGCGCGATAGAGACGCGCGAGCTCGAGAATCCGCCATGCGAAACAATTAATCTCGATCGGAGCGTTAATCGGCGCTCATCGATCATTCCGTATTCATGGCCAATTAGCGGCGTTCTCTCGCGGCGACTCGATTTCATTAATATTTCATTAATCACTCGGCGCGCGACTCGCGCAACCGTCGCGAAGAGAACATTTAACCTCCGCGGCATCTTGCCGCCGTTGCGCTGTCTCGTAATTATCGCGATGTCGATCGATTACTTGGTGCAGTTAACGAAATGGACTGTGACAATACTCACTTGTCGTCGCCGCAGCTCGAACGAGAACCTCCTCATCACGTCGAAACACACGCGAGACGAAAGGTCGGACCGCCGACGCGCGCGAACAGTGTGACTGCGTCGAGGCAGCCGTTTAAATTCGAGGTGGCGCTCGCCTCGCGAGCGTGACGTCACGTGACGTCAGTAGCGGCGCGCCCGAGCGAGAAAACATGGCTCCGCGGGGCCCCCGAGTTCAGAGACGAACTGTCCGATGTCAAAAGGGCCTAATTTTCTTGTAAAGAGAAAATTTACGTTCAATGAAACCGCTCGAAAACTCTGCTTAAAAAAGGAAAGTTTCTTTTTTCTCCATACAAAAGGCAGACTTTTTTTTATTACACTAGCGAATATTTATTTAAAATTCGGTTAAATTTGTTTAGATTGGTTAATGGTGCCTATCAATTATAACATCTGCGCGATGGAATTTTCGGAATTACGCCCTTTTAACGTAACTAGCTGATCGCTCTGTGAATTTCGATTAAAACACAACTCTCTTTACAATTAAAACGCATCATCCCAGACAACAAAGTCTAAAATCGGGACATAAGACGTCATAAAGATCATCTTTAAGATGTCTTCCAGACGATTTATGTATAAATGTCTTTAAGGCGTCTTAAAGATTATTTTTAAGGCGTCTTATGTCCCGATTTTAGACATCATGTTGGGATTACTTGCTCGCGTCCAAGAACGAAGGAACTGTTTCAATTTTTGATCGACATTACAACAGTCTCGAAGTTTTTCTCTGCCAAGATGAAAAAGCTATTAAAAGCTATTAAAAATTCTCATCTAAACTCCGCGTGTGTCTGTGCAGACTTGTCGGGTTTCGCAGGGCGAATCGTACGAGCTGTCGGGCCTTAATTATCGGCCATTAAAATTCTGTACATATGTGGAAGCTATCAATAATAGACAATCCCGCGTCGAATTATTCTCGCGTCGAGAGACAAAGAAACGCACCGATCTAAGACACATCTCCCTCTTTCCGTCTCTTGAATTATGCATAAAGCGGGATACGGAATAAATTGCAAATTGCACGGCGGATGTGAACATAGCGAGTGCGGATCGGGTGCGTCTCGATGGACGAGGACGACGACGAAATGTCACGTTATGCGCGTGAAGTGTCGGATACACATTCAACAGTCGTTAAAAAATGAGAAACGCAACGCACAAAGCCTAAAATCGTCTTGCTCGCATCGGTCTTACTAAAACGCCCTAGCTTCTCTCTCCTCTTCATTCGTGAGCGGAACGATCCGTTAGTGCGAAAAGGAAAAGACAGGCTCGTCATCCACGTGACGTTCCTGTTACACACACAAGTATCTTTGTCTCTTACGTATATCACACACGCATCGACACAAGTTACAACGCAAGTCGAATCGCTATAATAATAATCAATAATAATAATATCAGTAATAATGCTCGTAAAACTTAACAGAACAAGCATCGTTACAAACGATCACGACACACACCACGCAGGGCCTGGCTGTGTCAAGAGCCTGGTTTATCCTCAGCACGACCAACGCTGCAGGCAGTGACGATGTGAGCTACCTAAATCCGTATATCAATTGTCACATATTAGGTTTCTACGTTTATATCGTATAGTATGTATATATATACACAATCGCGGGTACACATCAGACCGTAATACCCCTAAAAAACTGGCGTGAAATCAAAACGGGTCGACGAACCGAAGCTGCTGCTGTTGCGAAACCGGGAGAGATCGAAGAGCTCGAGCTCGAAGAACGAAATGCAGTCTTATAATAAACTCGTTCTTCCGCCCAGAACTTTTCGATTTGACACGCAATTTATACTTAATTTCGGGAAGATCCGTCTGTCTTTTCGTATCTATTTCTTTCTCTCTCTCTCTCTCTCTCTCTCTCTCTCTCTCTCTCTCTCTCTCTCTCTCTCTCTCTCGACAGCGCGTCCAGATTTTCGGCGGACTTTAGGCGTCGGGGCGTCGATTATTAGACGCGCGATATATTAAAGATTCTACAAACTTTCTTGTTTTCTTCAATATTCTTTCTTCGACGATAATTCAAACAAAGTATCGCAAAAGCGCAGGTGATACATGTGGGATGGCGTGTAGAATAAATAGTCATTTGCACAATGTACTTTCGAGATTCTATCGGATCGCAGACTGGGAAAAATATCGAGTCCTTTACGGAATTCGCTATTCTACGATAATGATCGATAAGACTTTTTCGTTTTAACGCGAAGTTGTTCATTTATACGACGTCGGCAACAGCTCAGAGACACTTCTCGCGCGTATCTTCCTCCCTTTCTTTTCTTCTCCTTTTTATATTCTGCCGGTATACTATCTGCGAAATTGTTCCTAAGTGATGACGATGAAAGACAATCTTCGATCAAATCCCGTCGCGTCGACGCCGAAGGCACCAAGTAAAAGAAATGCACAGTCCGTCCGTGTCTCCTTTCTCATTCCTTTTTTTTCTTTTTCTTCAATGTTTAACGTTCCAATTGCTACACACTCTATTCGCTCAAGTATTCTTGTTTACTTTTTATTCTTTTGGCACTATTTGGCCGTATTGTGTGTGTATGTATTTTCGAGACGTAGATCACCGCGTCATCACGCTCAAGTGAATTATCGAGGTACTATCAGACATTACGCGTTACATACTTATCGGGGAAACACGTATTGAAATGCGTCCCGCTTGTATATCATCGTAAATACTTACGGCGGACAAACGAACAAACGTTTCCGAAGCGATCTCATTTTCTTTTATTCTTCTCCCCCAATATCTCGTAATACTTCAATGATTCACTTTGACAAATTCATAATAAAATTATTTTATTACCTTATCGTATATATATCTCGACTAAATGTATAGTAAGAAAAGGACAAAGGATGGATCTATATATAGTATTATAATTTTTTTCCTTACACAATAAACAGAAACGACAATGGCACAAAGTGTTACTAAACTCGTTACGTTAGCTTTGATTTAGCGTTCGTTCGATTATTGGCAACGTGATGAATAGTTTAAATGTTAAACGTTAGTCTCGAGCTGATCTCGTTTCGCGCTAATCGTCGCTACTTTATTATTCTGCTTTACTTCTCTTAAAGCGCGTTAATCTCTCACTCACGCAGCAGACTCTCATTTTCGCACATTCTCTCAACATTCTCTCTCTCGCTCTCTCTTTCTTCGAGTATATTTCTTCTTGTATGTATGTATTATTTGTGTGTCTATGCATGGTTTGTCAAAAAAAGACCCGACTATTCCGTTTGAGTCTTTTTACGTCATTGTGCGTCCTTGGGAATCTGACTAGCACATAGATTTCAAACGAATAAATTAACACTTTCCTTTCCACTGTTCCTCGTTATTACACATCGTTCGCTCGAAAGATGTTGCAACAGATGCGACATATCGTACCACATAAACGCTCGTGAATCGGTAACAAGTATACACATTCAACACAAAACGGGAGCCTGCGTGATTAGCGTTCACTATAATGAGAGATAATTAGCTCATTGTTCCATATCGCATATCCGGAGACAGTGATGTTGCACACCGTCTGCTTTCTCTCGGTTGTCCGCTTTAAAGCAGTTCAGCCACCGTCATTAGTGTATCCTCTCTCTCTCTCTCTCTCTCGCTCTTCCGTGACAAAATTGAAGCGATACGGAGGAAAAAAATGAGTTCCGACAAGTTACTGTTTGCAAAATGTAAAGTTTCACTATACGCTTAGTTATCAACGGAGATATTGCAAACTATCTAAATGCTGTAACTCTCTTCATTGTGAGACACATAAACGTTTATATAATCGTAGTATATACAATATTATAGTGATAATTCATAAGTAAAAAAGTAATCAAGTATTCGCAAAATGTATTGCCGATTTCGAGTCTCATCGTTCCACGTTTTCTGAACATCTAATTGGTTTCTGCGTATTCGATGAGAGAATGACGGAAGAAGCGAACGCGAGCGCAAGAGAAACTGACGATTCGCACGTTAGAATGATTAATATTTTTAAAGGTTACACAAGTTATTTAACAAATTGAGAAGTGTTGAAATGTATTAAAATATAGATAGTAATTAAATGTAATTAAAAAACTATATATATATGTGAATGTCTAGCGTGCGCTGTATGTCAGCAAAAAGAAAAGAAAAAGTGATTAGCGCGAGACCAAACGGATCGACTAGTCGTCTATTTTGTAAACAAATATTAATATTATACAGTAATAATAAACATAATAATATTATTAATGATGATGACTGCTTCCATAGAGTGAGCTTCGTGAGCGTATCACAGAACAATATTCGCAGACACATTTGCCGACTGAAGTCACCTCTTTGCATGATACTCGTCGATCATCGAGACTAATCTGTTCGCGATAATCAATTCAGCATAGTGAGTTGTGTTGTCCCTGCTCCTTCGAGAAAATGATAACTTGAACGCGCAACACATTTGAACGGACTGCTACCGTAACACGTTTGCCGCCGGTTCCGTACAACATCACTGTCGTCTCGTGAACGTTCGTTCGCATGCACGTACGCACGCCGCCACGGAAAAGTAACGTGCACAAAATCAGTCTCTATCGTATCAAAACCTTCGGTTATACTGTTAAAACCTCATCAACTTCATCGTCTTCTTCTTCATCGTCGACAATCACGGATTGGACTTACTGAGGAAGCTGACAAGCATTCGTTCATGCCGCGCGCCCAGACGGGCGAATCTCTTAAGTATCGCGACCCGAAGAGTCGTGGAGTTGGATGTTAGTTAATTCTTGTTGTTGCTGCGCGGACTCGCCGGCTGACTGTTCGCCTGTTGCTGAGCGCGCTGTATGTAGATGTTTAGCAATTTCAGCTTGCTAGAGTACAGGCAGCTCAGGTGTGGTTTCAGCACTTCCTCGCCGACCGCCACGTGAATCGCCACCATGCAGAACACCGCGCTTTTCCGGACAGCACTCTCGGCATCGTCGTAAGCCTGTACACAACGTACAAGTTAATATATTGCATTATAACATGCACAACAATAACTTGTCTTATATATAACATCCTACTTTTTACTTAATATATATTTAATACGTCCAATACACATTTAATAATTTTCATGTGATATAATACTTGTGTTGTGCTGATAGATTTTCGCCAAACTCACTTTGATAAGACCCGGCATAACCTTGGCAAGATGAGGTTCTATCGCTTCGCGACCCCAGTGCTCCACTACTTTATGCAACATCTTTATTGCGCCCATATTCAATGGATATGGCTCCGTGGCGATTATAGTTGAGACCAAATGAATAATTTGTTCTGGCTTGAGGACCATAGCTATCGTCGCCGCGCACTTTTCCGCGTTCCAATGTACCTGTTGCAAGAAGCATAACGCAAGTTAATATAACATAAATATGACGTTGCAAGTCATAGCGTAAGTGAATGTGTTGGCTCGTAAAAAATCGTTTAAAATAACTGAGCAAGATGATAACTCACTGGAGATCTGCCGCCGCTACCACTGGAAGAATCGACCTTTTGATCGTCGGATTTGTAGGCATAAATAACTTTCAGTATCAACAATTCGGGATAAAAGGAGAAGCTCTCTACCAATTCAGAGCATTTAAGCATGTCGATTAGCGTCTGAAGCACCTCTACTTGTATCGCCTTACTGTCATTAGATAGACTATCTAATAAAGTTTTGAGCACTTTCCTGAAACATCAAGTGGTTATTAATAAATGAGCGAAAATCGCTGAAGGATTCTCCACCATGAAATCTCGTCAGACGTACTTGAAGTTTCGTTTAATATGCGACGCGTCGCCTTCGCGGACATACGATTGGAATTCTTGTAAGACCGTGGCTTTTTCTGTGGTTTGCGTCATCTTAGATTGCAACGTCTTGATCATATTATCTACGATTTCTGGTCTGTTTATTAAGTCGGGCGATGATCCTGAGGACAGTATTGAAATATTTCAGTTTTATTATGCGCGTGGAAATGGTTTCAAAAGACTAATTAAAAGACAGTTTACCTACCATGCGTTTTATAACCATTATTTTCTTGAGGTAGAATCAAATCGCCGGCTATCGTATCGCTGGACCCGTTCACCGTTATGTTACTAACAGATCGTCCCCGCTGGGTCGGTGAGGAGACGGACGATGATCGGCCCTGAAATCGTAAGGTTGATATTATGTCAGATGTCTTTAATGTTGGTATCTTGAAGTAAATTTAGATGTTCCATTTATCTCAATTACCGTATTTGTTTTGTACAATTATCTTTGTAGTCTATTTGAGCAGGAAAAGATCTTTTGACTCGCTCTTGTGTGTTATTGTGTGTTTTGTGTCTTATTGTGTCTATTGTGTGTTATTGTGTCTTGTGTGTTTAAGAATAAAAGCAAGTATTACTCGTTTTTTAAACGTCTTACTTGAAAAGAAACATCTGTCTGACTTAACGTTGAATCGTACTACGACCTCGAGTCTTCATTGTGAAGATTCGCAGACAACGATAATTCGGATAGAACAGATTTCTGTTTCAAATTGTCACAACTCAACAGTAAGTCAGACAACTTTTGATAGTTATAAAAAATTCATTATTTTCACATTTCTCGACTATAATCTATAATAACAAATTAGTACATTTTAATCCAGTTGAACGTCGCTTTTTCGCATTAATATCGTCTTTCAATTTCTGTAGTCTCGCTATCGCTGATATTTTTTCTTTCACTTACCGAATTAGACAACGTCAGACCTTCTATTCGCTCCTCCACGTCTGCCATGTTACTGATCCCGCTGTCTTTGCTAGTGGTGGCTCTCTCCAGCCGTTCGAAGCCATAATTTTGGATTTCTGCGGTTGTACGTCGTAATGATCTGCAAGAATTAGAAAATATTAGAAAATATCAAATCTACAAGAATTAGAAAATGAAAATATCAAATTTACAAGAATTAGAAAATGAAAATATCTCAAAATCATGACGTTAAGAATGTCGGAAGGACTAAAATGTAGTCGCGTACTTGTATACTTCCTCCAAATTCTCGTCGCCCCCATCGATTTCAGTCTTTCCGTCCGTTTTATTATCATTCTTCGCCTTCGTTCGTGCCGGCGAACTCTGCGCTCTGGGCGGCGGTGTGCCGGGTGACGCCGGATTACTCGAAGCGGACGATTTCCTCAGGTGATTCTGCACCAGAGGCCATGCCGTTTCCTGCAGAAAAAGAAGCATCGATTCAGCACACTTGAACGGGAAGAAAACAGCGGACGTTACGGCTGACGCTGAGGAACGTCAGCGGATCGTATCATTCAACACACTTGATAGTATTTCGGTAATTCGGAGAGTATCATAGTAACTTGAGGCGTATTCAGATTGTAAAGCGATATCACAGCGTTCTGCGCGTGCCTCCTAACGTCTTGGCTTTTAGTGTCATTCGACCAGTCGAGCAGCCGTGCTAGCGCTGTTGCTGCAGAACTGCCCAGAGCGGACGGCTCTGCCGTCTCAGCGATCTGCGTGATAAAAGTCAATGCTGCTACTTTCACGCGAGAATTTGGTGTTTGTGTTGGATCTGTCAGATACCTCATCACAGCTGGTAGAAGCTGTTGGCCCGGGAAACAGTCTCTGAACAAATAATCACAACATTTAAGATTATCAATATTTAATAACGATAAAAGCGTCTCGATGCATGCGTCACCTTAACGATCTCACGCAAATTCTCACCTCACAACGTCAAGCGTTTTGTGAATCTTTGCTTGTATAGATCCCAGTAAATCGGTACCCAACTTATTGAGAAGCCTCGCGCACAGAACATAAAGCCAGTCGCCGAGATCCTCGTTGTGAGTAACCAATAATTCGTTTAGCGTGTCCAAAAACAGACTGAACACTTTCGTGTGGGAATCCATAAACATTTTCGTAAAAATGTCCGTTACTCTACGTAATTCTGTAGTAGTCAGTGTATTGCCAGTGTTCAGAAAATGCTGCAAGCCTACTAAACCCTCCTTCCTGTCTCCCCAATGCTTGTGAGCACAGTTCTCAATAATTTCTTTGATGTCCTGTAAAACGAAAAGAGATGATCGCGTGTTTCTTCTCATTTTTTAACGTATACATGTATGCTGAGATACTTTGAAACACACAATATATATATATATATATATATATATATATATATATATATATATATGTATATATATATATATATACACATACACAAGGTAATTCATAAATGCATGTCAATACTTTAGGAGGTAGATCTACACATAAAAATAAGTAAAAAAGATTATCAAACATATGTCCTACATACCTTAGTTTTCAAGTTATGAACTGTATTCAGAACAATAACTTCAGAACAGTAACTCGCGAAGATAAGATACTAACTGTCTGAAATTCTGTCCGATTTGTATTGATGGATATTCTTTGTAAACATTAGACAAGGTCGAGACGTGCTGTACAGTAGCGTGTGTTGATGCACGAGGCGAATACTTTGAACATTTTCTTTAATCAATCATAACTTGAAAAGTAAGGTATGTAGGACATATGTTCATGTGATCTTCTTTACTTATTTTAATGTGCAGATTTACCTCCTAAAATATTGACATGCATTTATGAATCACCCTGTATATTCTCGCGACAGAATACGTGTATGATACTCGAAGTAAAATTGTTTCCAGATATCGAAATACATGTATATACGATTGCTGCATCTAACGATGTGTGATGTCGAGCTATCTGGTAGCTTATGTTTTTCACAATACATCATTTCATCAATGTGCAGATACGAAAAAAAAGTAGAATTTAACAAACCTTCGGGATAGACTGATCCCATAGGTCACGGTATAGTCTCGGTTGCGAGCCACTCCATGAGAACGACTAATGTGGGTAGATGGGCGATGGAGAGATATGGAGAACAGAACGGCGTGTCGCGTTAGTCCAAACCAAACAAATACGCCGCAACAAAACCAAAAGTGAAAACCAGACATGCATTAGCTACATCGTCATACAATGTGCTGACAAGGGAACGTTCCATGTTGCAAAAGTGATATAAAAAAACTAACGTTACCAGTCGAAAAGGTCACGTTTGAAATAGGAATTCTAGATGATCAAATCTTGAGATCCTATGGATTCTGTTCACTCCACTTGAGCCGGAACATGTCTATTTTACATTTTAACATAAACACCAAAATATCTCAAGAGCAATGTATTTTTGGAAAAAAAATGTTTCAAATAAAAGTTGGAGGAGGTTTAGCTAAAATTACCAGAATAAAATTTTCTTGTTTTTTCCGTAGTATATGTGCAATAAAATATAGGCGTTCCCATCGAAAAAATTAACCTGGGCCTAAAGTGAACCCAAAATTTAAGTAACTCACTGATGGCCTTCTTCATACCCTACAACTTTTATTTGAAACATTTTTTTTCAAAAATATATCTTTCGAGATATTTTGAGATTTGACCATCTAGAATCTTTCAAACATGATCTTTCAACTGATAACGTTAGTTTTCTTATATCACTTTTGCAATATGGAAAGTTTCCCTTGTGAGGGGTTTTCGCATCGCGCAGGTATCTTGTTTTTTCCTCGTTCGATGGAGGACCAAATCGTATGTAAATAATAAAGACCGTTTCACTTAAATCAATATCTCACTCGAATCAAACAATATATCGCGAAAACAAACAATATATCGCGACGTAATAACTCCAGAGGTTTGCGTATTAATAAACTCACATGCTGTATATCGAGGTAAACCTAAGTATCACAAAAGCATCAATTAATCGATTGTAAAAAGCGTATGTAAAGATTTATTAATATCACGTAAGGGCATGCGTAAAAATTCGTCATATATCAATGCAGCATGGTTCATGAAACAATATGCGTGGAAATGTAGTTATGGTATCTCATCTTCGTGAATGACGTTAGCGTGTTAAAAAGATTAGTCTAATATGGCTCTCAGATATGCAATCAACAAATTACATGAAGAGAAGGTGTAAGAGCCAAAGCACAGATTTAATAGTGCGATTGTTTATTTAAGAAAAAAATAAATTCAAAAACACACGTTTCGACCCGATTTAGGTTCTCTTCAGTGTTACAAAAAAAAAAAAAAAAAAGAAATTATTTGCTAGTTTAACTTATTACAACTCTTTTATAGATTGACGCGTTTTCTCCTGTCAACATCAACGAATTAGCCTTTGCTCCGCGTTGTCTTTTTAAACAATGTGGATCAATTGTGACATCGGGGGGAGGAGTTAGACAATTTCCGAGCGTTTCGAACTTTAGTCATTACTTTGCGAGCGTTGCGTAATTTAATTTAATTCTATGTATTAAGAATGACCGATTTGACTAGCAAATAATTTCTTCTTTTCTCTTTTCTTATAATACTGAAAAGGACCTAAATCGAGTCGAAACGTATGTTTTTGAATTTGGTTTTTCTTTTGTTTTTTTAATAAACACAATCGCACTATTAAACCTGTGCTTTGGCTCTTACACGCCTCTCTCTTCATGTAATTTGTTAGCGTGTTAGTTTATGTAATGACAAATAAATCCACGGGTACGTAGCTATCAAGTTAACCGCGATTCTGTACGCGACATTCGTCCGTTTTTCGATCAAAGCAACGATGATAACAAGAATGTTCAAGCCAACGATTGCGCCGCTTCTTCCATTCTTCTCTTGTACGCTTTGATTCGCAAGAAAGTGTGTACTTACATCACTAGCTCGTCTGAAACCGTCTATGCTCCGTTCCGAGCATATGCTGCTGTTCTCGCTGTCGTCGCTGTGATCCCCTTTAGTTCCAGGTATTCTGGTGTAGTTGTCCATGCTGTCGAATGTCAGAGCGTCCGCCAGAGCGGACTCGGCCTCGCGCGACTTCTGCAGCATCTTCTGCGCCATAACTGGCGGCCTGCTGCTGTCCGTCGGCGACATGTGCAGATTTCGCCCTCTGGTTCATTCGAATAATCAGCGTTATGGCAGTTATTTGGATCCGAGTTTGGGATATCAGCAAAAAAGGAACGAACAAACGAACGTTCGTACATTGCACGTACCTCAGTTTACTCGCGAAACTTCTGTCCATTCCAAATCTCTGCGGACTGGGCTCGCGACTGTTACTGGTGCTGCTGATAGCGTGTCCAGATAATCGCCTCGGTCTGCCGATCAGTGATTCACCTTCGCGATTGTACGTGGCGTAACTTAGCCTAGACGACGGGGAGCCCGACCTACTGCTAGCTGTTGACAAAAACCACCCAATCGACCCGTTACAGACTGATTGATACAGATTCCTGTGATTTAGATTTGTGGGGTTAATAGAGAAGATCACAAGACTCACGCTGAGACTGCGAAACTCCCGAGACTCTTGTCCTGGTCCTCGCGACTCTTTCCGGGCTGGCAACCGCGTTGGGATCCGGTGATTTACTGGGACGCGCTGCAATGCAAAATGACACATCAGTCAGCACATCGTTCCGGATACTTTAGTTTTCAATTTCTTCTCTCGAATCTATGCGAGTTATCTATGATATTTTCACGCCAAGGAATTACTCACGAATTGCCGCAGCTGCTTTCTGCCTGCTCATATTAGCGTACATTAATCTAGCCTTCGCCCTTTGAGCGGCTTGCAGATCGATCGCACTAGTAGATCGAACTCCTGGTGTTCCTCGATCTGCAAAGATGCGATGTGAGTTAACTTCACGACAGTGGCATCGCGCGACATCTATTAATCGGTGCGAGAGACAGAGAAAAAGAAAGAAACAAAGAAGAGATATCAACGCGAGACAACATTTCCGTTTTGTGCACAGCGATCTTGTTCTTTGCTTATGACGTAACGAATGATTGCAGAACAATTACAGTGACTGTCTGTTGGTCTTTGCAGTATCGGGATACCAGACTGACGATAAGACCGAGGCAAGGACGGTGTACGTCTGAGCGGGCCGTGTGGCTGGCCCATGGTCTGATGCAAATTTTCCGTACTACCTTCACGCGTTTTAACGTAAAGAGAAGAAGTCGCAAAGCAGCATGAAAACAGAGTTAGACAAATCCTTTATGTTAGGATCGCAGGAAACACGAGTAAACACGTGCAAGATATGTCAACGTAGACTTTACTTCTTTTTTCCTCAATAGATGTGATTATGTTATCGCGGCACTAAGAACGCGGTACGAGAGGAATGGGGCGCTTTCTCACCTGCTGCGCTCATCACGGGTCTGGCTGTGCGTGGACTAACGCTCGACGATCTCGCATTAGCCACGATATTCAAACTGTTACTACTGCCGCTATTGCTGAGAGACATCAAGGAGCGTTTGTATGTCGCATCCAGGTTATTAAGTAGTATTTCAGCCTGCTCTGGAAAGTGATTTTTAAATGCCCAGTATGATCTATAAAAAGCGATAAAATTAACAACGTTGTCACACGTCGGTCCTCTTGTAAGGGGAGAAGCATGTTGAAGGGCGAAAGTCACACTCACTTCCTGGCGAAAACTCGCGCTTCCGCGTCAGAATCGGCGATGCCTTTCTTAAGCGCGTCCGGCAATACCGTGACGTGCTTTTGCAATATCTGCGTAGGCCAGGTCTGCAAAATTAAAGCCAGATATTCCCAGGACGCGCGGCGAATGTCTTTGCTCTTGTTGCTCACGCACGATATAATAATAGGCACGTATCGGCTACAGTGGGTATTTTGAAGGATAAACCGAACTGCCACCGCACCAGCTGTCGCCACGACCTAGTTGCCATGAAGAAAATGGTTGGTAATTAAATTCTTGCCATTTACAGAGATTAAATAGAAACTGACACGGACTCGTTCTACGGCAGAACTTTACGAAATATAACTATCTCTTATCTGAGTCGCAAGTAAAAAGTCGTGTGATAGATTTGGACGACGTACAATCGCATCTATATATCATGTACTCAACAGAGACATCAGTATTCGAGCGAAACTCACCTTGGCACTGTTCTGTATGAGGTTCATTAACGTGAGCAAAACCGCCTCGCCAAAACTGGCGAATTTGGTCTTCAGGCTCTGACTCAGAAAGGCTAGTGTTATGCATGCTTCTCGCGCCACTTGGGATCTAAGGTCGGTGCAGGCCTGTTCGAACGGTCGCTGTATGCTCTTTAGGCACTCGTGGAAATTTTCGTAGTTAGTGCCACCCGCGATTACAATGGCCCTCAACTTCCTCATCTGCAAAAGCAAAAAGGTCAGGAAATTGCTGGCTAACAAAGGAACGTTTTATATTGCAAAAGTGATCATATAAAAAAAAAAAAACGAATATTACCAGTCGAAAGATCACGTTTGAAATAAGTATTCTAGATCAAATCTTGGGATTCTATAGATTCTGTGCCCCACTTGGGCCGGAATATGTCTAGCCATTTTAACATAAACACCGAAATATCTCGAAAGCAATATATTTTTGAAAAAAAGTTTCAAATAAAAGTTGTAGGGTTTAAAAAAGGTCATCAGAAGAGTTAATTAAATTGTAGGTCCAAGGCTCACTTTGGGCCCAATAAGGCCCAGGTTAATTTTTTCGGTGGAAACGTCTATGTTTTATTGCAGATACATATTCTATGGAAGAAAAAAACAAGAAAATTTTGTTCTGGCAATTTTCGCTAAACCTCTCAATTTTTATTTGAAATATTTTTTTCAAAAATACATTGCTTTTGAGATATTTTGGTGTTTATGTTAAAATGACTAGACACGTTCCGGTCCAAGTGGGATATAGAATCCATGGAATCCCAAGATTTGACCATCTAGAATATCTATTTCAAGCGCGACTTTTTAACTAGTAATGTTAGATTTTTGATATCACTTTTGCAACATGAAACTTGTGAGAGAAAGAGTCAAGAAAAGTGAAGAAAAGGGAAGAGAAGAGATCTCTTGACACTTGCATTGTCCATTCTCTGTTTCCAGTCCTTCTTATCGTCACCCACTGCATCTTTGATAACCTTCATTTGTTCCTCGAGGTCCTTTGCCGAATACAACGTGACGGTAGGCACGTCCTCGAACGAAGTGATGAAGCATTCTTCGTCGACAGCTCCGGCTTGGGCTGGACAGGGCAGGCGGTGATTACATTCGTTATGTGTATCAATTTAAATGCACGCAAGGTGTGTGTGCGTCGCGAATTATAATGATTATATCTCGAAATCTGAATATACACAGTACTTCATGCTTGACACTTTCAGGGGTCGTTTACGATTATCGAGACTGACTCACATGAATAGCTATAAACTGCCGTGAATGCTCAAGCTGTACCCATACAAATAATGAGTGAATGCATTTCAAAATAATGAGCATGATTGCCAATAATAATTAATAAGCATAACTACACATCGACTTATAAGATGAAAAGCATATGACTGACAACGATGTGCAGGACTTTCATTCGCGCGCTATGCACTACTCCATCTGGCAAGGGAGTGAATTAATATGTAATTTGTCGTAATTTTCCGCAATCTCCGTGATATATCAAATTTACTCGCGCAGACTCTCGAGTCGAGTGAACGATCGGGAGTCACTTCGATTTCCCGAGATTCGTCCAAGTGTATTATAGAACGTTTGAATGCCAATAGAAGATTTGGATATACCTGTTGCTGATCTTACTGACAGAGCTCTTTTGACGGTCGCTGCCCTTGGGACCATGGAGGATGAAGTAGTACCGGGGTGAGCTGTCATGCAAGCGAACAGTTAACATTATCCTCGTCATTGAAACGTCAACGCACGTTGACCGTTTGCTGACGAGTCTCTCAACGTGTGTTTGTGCGTTAACACTGATGCAAAAGTAAAGCCGCGGTTAAAACTCAAGCGTATTACGAGGTGTTGCCCGTACGTGCGCCTAGTTTTGCGGAGAACAGTGCCGCTGTGACATTAGTCAACACTGAGTCATGACATTTATATACATTTTAGATGAAACAGAAAGAGAGACATTTCCCTCAGTGTTCAAATCGTTCACAAGAAGCTCTTTCGATTTACACGAGCATATTAACAGTGCTACGCGTTCAAAAATATCGACATATTCAGTTTTAATGTTTCTAACCGAAAATAAAAAAGAAAAGATACCATAAATTCGCAAGAAAATGCTTTCAACAAGTGTAATAAAAAAAATTATTGAATGCACGCGATAACGCTACACTGAAGGAAAAAATTATCTTAAAATCAACAAATATTTTTTGGATAGGTGCCATTAACATATAAAATGTGCCGGTACACTGAGAGAAAAATTATCTTAAAATCAACAAATATTTCTTTCATGAGTATCATTAATATATTTACTTAAATTCTCTTTATTTAAATCAAATATATAAATATATTAAATCAAAGATATATTGTTTACCTGATTTAAGTAAAGAATATTTGGTTTAAATAAAGAGAATTTAGATTTAAATAAATATGTTAATGGCACCCATCATTTCCCTCAGTGTTCAAATCGTTCACAAGAAGCTCTTTCGATTTACACGAGCATACTAAGTAGTGCTACGCGTTCAAAAATATCGACATATTCAGTTTTAATGTTTCTAACCGAAAATAAAAAAGAAAAGATACCATAAATTCGCAAGAAAATGCTTTCAACAAGTGTAATAAAAAAAATTATTGAATGCACGCGATAACGCTACACTGAAGGAAAAAATTATCTTAAAATCAACAAATATTTCTTGGATAGGTGCCATTAACATATTTACTTAAATCTAAATTCTCTTTATTTAAACCAAATATTGTTTATTTAAATCAGGTAAACAATATTTGATTTAAATAAAGAGCATGTAGATTTAAGTAAATATGTTGATGGCATCCATCAAGGAAATATTTGTTGATTTTAATATAATTTTTCTCTCAGTGTACGATAATTCTGACAGCTACCAACCAACTGGAGAGTTCTCAAAGTAAATTCACGTTTACTGTTCACTACCTTTGCAACATGTCATGCTCTCAAATGAAATGTTAATGTCTGATTGGTGATGTGGTTCGCGACAACAAGATTAATAATTAAGGTAGTGAGACTTGCTGTATACCTAACGTGGAGGATGGCGTCTTCGCGGGGCCAAATTGACCTCTTTTGGGTGGCATGTTCAACCTCTTAACAGGAGCCGATTTGATCTACAATACAAAATTGTTTAGCAACGTTCTTTCAACCTGTAAGCTCGCATCGAAGTTGTTTACGCTCTCTCAAACTTTACACTCACCGCTCTGTCAGGTTCGTCGCTGTCCTTTCCAACTGAAACAGAAAAGAAAAACCAATTGTCAATTCAGGCGCCTCACATATCCTTTCTTATCATGTCCAAAAATAAATCGCTAACTTTAAAAAATAACAATCAGCCGTTCGGAGAAGTTAAGATTGTAAAACATAAGTAGATCATAGTTTTTCAGTTCAACCTTATAATACATATGCCATTATATTTACAGACGTAATTCCATTAACAAGATCATATCAAACCTCAATCTAAACCTGAGTACTTCACTTGAGACGAGTTTCAAGTAATGAGAGATTTTTAATACAATCTTAAATTTATTAAGGTATTAATAATTATTTTATGAAACTCGTCTCGAGTGAGATACTCAGGCCCGTATTAATAGTCATTACTTGAAACTTCTTTCTAACGAGATACTCAGATTTGAGTTCTTATTAAATTAAATGAGAGTTGAATTAAATGAGATTTTCAGTTGAATCGCGATTGCAAATGTAAATGTTGTAGTACAACATTTACATCAAGTAATGAGAAGTTTTTAATACGATCTCAAACTTATTAAAGTATTAATAATTATTATCTAAAACTCGTCTCAAGTGAGATACTCATTACTTGAAACTTCTTTCTAATGAGATACTCAGATCTGAGTTCTTATTAAATTAAATGGCAGTGGAATTAAATGAGTTTTTCAGTTGAATTGCGACTGCAAATATAAATGTTGTACATGTCATAATTCAACGTGAATCTGACTTTGAATAAAAGACTGAATATCTCGCATGAGATAAGCGTTTGATATAAATAGCCCAAGTAGTATGGGAATATGCGATATCTCATTATTACGCAGCGTGTCGCGACGTTACGCGACCGTCTCTCCTTCGCGATATGAATGTATGTACCTAGATCCGGATACAACCACGGAGGCTTGTGGATATCGCAGTGGCATCCTCTCGCCCTCGCGCCAGGATGCTTGACTATGTTATCCCACTGCAGTATCCACCTGCTGCTCGCGTCCCATAACTTCTTATCGATACTGGGATACTTCTTTAATCCCCGACGCAGGCAGCGATGCCCGCTGGATACTAACACGTCGGCGTCGTTCATCGTGAACGATATACACGACACTAGTGCTTCTCTACTGGCGAGGATAAATTCCTCCACGGGTCGCGAGAGCGTTGCTACGACGACGCTGACATTTCGCCAGCGTCGTCATCTTAATAAACCGGGTATGGAGCCGGGCTTTTCCCACCTCGCAGTGTCTTCTCGTCAAATTTCTTTTTCTTTGTTCCAGCGTCTATCATAAGCCGCGCAAACTTCCAATGTTATACCATCGGACTCGTCGTGCTGCAAATTTGAGAAAAAAAAATCGATACCGAGACGAAAACGCGAGATAACACTGTCCGACAAAATTTGACTTTTTTTTCCTGCGATGATCGCAACCACTATTTTTTTAGTAAATTCGAGGTCGCTGAAGCCAAATCCGCCAGCAAAAAATGACCATCACGTCAGGTTTTTTAGATAAATCGAGTAATATGGGTAAAAAACTGCATTTTTTGCCATATTTATCATTTTTTTGTTGCCAAACGAAATTTTATTTTTTAATTTCATTGACGCCATTTTAAAGTGCTATTCTTCACCTTTAAAACGAATTTTTATTTTTTACTGTACGATTTTTTTCACCGAGTTCTGAACGTTTTCCGAAATGTAAATAATGTCGGATCTAAATTGGTTGATTGAAACTGGAAAGTAGATGGATTTGTATGAAATGGGTATCCTAGTGTTTTCGGGGTCGCTAATACCGAATCGGAACTGAAAACTTCGTAATTTTGAGTTCAGATTCGTAAACAGCGACCCCAAAAACCCCGAGTACTGACTTTGATCCGACTCGAGTCACTTTTCTTATTTCGATCCGCCATTCTAAATTTCGAAATTTTTAGTCCAGATTTGGCATCAGCGATCCCGAGAACCCTAGGATACCTATTCTCATACAAATCCATCTACTGTCTAGTTTCAATCAACCAATTTAGATCCGACATCATTTACATTTCGGAAAACGTTCAGAACTCGGTGAAAAAAAATCGTACAGTAAAAAATTCTATTTAAAGATGAAGAATAGCACTTTAAAGTGGCGTCAATGAAATTAAAAAATAAAATTTTGTTTGGCCCCAAAAAAATTAGTAAACGGCAAAAAACGCAGACTTTTACCCATATTACTCGATTTATCTAAAAAACTTGAAGCATTTTTGCTGGCGAATTTGGCTTCAGCGACCTCGAATTTATTAAGAAATATTGGTTTTTGTCGCCGCAGATTTTTTTGTTAAACTGCACGGAAAAAATTGGTTGAATTAATCAAATATCTGATCGAATATGAACAATCCAGAAATTCCGATTGAAGTAACCTGAAGTTTAAGTTAACAAGATTTTTGGTTGACTTAAACAGAATTCGGGTTACTTCAATCGAAATTTCTGTATCGTTCATATTCGACCAGATATTTGGTTAATTCAACCAAACTTTCTTTTCCGTGTGTGTAATCGATCGTGAATTAAAAATCTCTCGGCTACGACAATGTCAACGCGCGAGGATGCGATATGGAAAGCATTTATCGTGAGCAATTAGCGCGATTATGGCGTTCGACTGATAGCAACAGCCGCGAGATCCGCGGATGAGCGTTCGACCTCACACACTAAGAGAAAAAAATAGTTGGAATAACTATAATCTCACTATATTTTATGATTCGTTTTGGCCTCAAACATATATTTATAGTTCATCTAAACACGAAGATATAGCAGAATGAACACATTTATAGTCACCATCTTATTACTCTATGTGTATAGTAAAGCACCTTTTGGGAATATAGTTACATGTATCTATACTTGCCAAATATTCCAACCGTATTGACTATATAAAATAGTTAATTTCTCTTACTATTCAATATTTGTTACCTTACTATATTTTTTATTTCAAATAATTATAATTCTTGGTGAAAATTTTACACGGGTCAGTTATACTATGCTTATATTGTAAATATTACAAATATTATGGTAACATTTACTATAAAAATGATATTCCTAACTATAATCTTTTTACTATGCCATTATAGTTCCAAATATCATACATTTTTCTTTCAGTGAACTGAAAGAGAAAGAACAGTTGGAATTACTATAATTTCACTATATTTTATAGTTCATCTAAACACGAAGATATAGCAGAATGAACACACATTTATAGTCACCATCTTATTACTTTATATGTATAGTAAAGCACCTTTTGGGAATATAGTTACATGTACTTATATTTGCCAAATATTCCAATCGTATTGACTATATAAAATAGTCAATTTCTTTTACCATTCAATATTTGCTATATTTTTTATTTCAAATAATTATAATTCTTGATAAAAGTTTTACATG